ATGGTATTTTCTATCCGAACTTTGATGAATATCGATCGGTTTGCATGGTCTGGTTAGTTCAAATGTGGGTTGAAACATATGCGAGCGGCGTTGAATGACTAGCTCTCGCATCCGTGTCCGTGGAGTGGTCTCCCTGTTCACGGACAAATGCGGGGGGAAATTTGCGGGTCGTCGTTGGAGACGCCCTAAGCAAGTACTACTCTATTGATACATGGCCCACCTCCACTAACAAATTCTCTAGGAGCACGTCATACAGCCGACTGTTAGTTTGTAGCTCGCTTCTTTTCTTTCTCATCTTCCCTCTCTTATAACTCAGCAAAAATATGATATTTAAAAGTCTTACAGTCCACCTATGTCACCTTATTGTACTTGCTCTTATGATTTCCCTTCTTACAAACAAATAAAATGATTGTTTTTGAGCGACCATCACCTCGAAAAACTAAAACTACAGCACCAAAGAACTTGATACAACACCAAAGAAAGGCAAGACCCTATAGAGGCGACACAACAAAATTAAAACGACCTAAGTATGACCACTCTATAATTGGCAATCCATGACCCGAAGATGACCAATGCCGCGTTTGTTAGGCTGCATTAGGTTTAGCCAGACCCGCGCGGGATGTACTCGGCTCGTTTGTTCACCTGGAGTGCATCTGTTTCCTGGCCCGCATTAACCTCAAAGCGCCCATGGGCCTGACTCTGGAGGAACGGAATCGTTCACCAATGCCACATGGGCTTTGCGCGGCGGTGCTGCCAGCGCGCGGAGGGGCGGGGGGGAGGGGGGAGGGATGGTGGGGGCCTTGCCTCACAGCTAGGGTTTCGCACCCGAGTTGCTTCTTTTGCCCTCTGTCATGTAAATGTTAGAGATAACCATTGTATAACTTATATTTAAAAACAGTTGTGTAACTTGCTATTTTGACTTCTCTAGAAACTATGTTCTACCGTTTTTCTCTTTCCAAAGAAAAGAGTTGTTCTTGTTCCACACCTATACTGTAGGTGGAATCCATTCTGTACATCGAAAATTCCAAACGAACCGAGTTCTATGAAGGTTTTACCGATTTATTCACCAACTAATCTCCATCTGTGAATTTCAGGGGGTGTTGGCCCCTCACCTTGATTTCTTCCAATTAAATTATCGCAGCTAAGCATCTTGTTAATTTTGTAATTATTTGTTCATGTGTGTAGCATTGCTCTACGTACACTACAGGAAACGAACAACGAAACAAGCATCACCACGTGAACTAATTGGTAGTTAGATGGTTAGAGAGGACAACGATGTCCCTAACCCATCAGGGTTTAAGTTCTAAATTTGACATCGATTCACATTTTTCTAAACTTATTTCAGGCCTTTCGACAACGTGCGTTCAGTGGCAGGAGATGTTCCGGTCGACTCCTAAGGCGTACGTGGCGCCTTTGTCAATCACAAAATGATGCGCCGGTTCAGTCTTTCTAATAGGTTCATAGAGGTGAGTGTATATGCGTATGTATGAGCGTTTTTATATTGTACGGATGAATATTAGGTGACACCATGACTTGTATGCTTCCATGATACCAATTTTAAAAGGTCAAATTAAAATCCCTTTTTTATGAATGTTTACAACACATGTGTCTACAATCCCTAGAAATTTCGGATCAAAATTCGAAGTACACAAAGAGAAACAACAAAAAAAAAAATTTGGCATAATAGTATAAATAAAGACAAATGCATGAATAGTATCAAAACCTGAGTGCGGCTATTTGGCTCACAAACTCATCTGCTCTCGCTGTGAACAGTAAATTCGAATCAAATACTAGAAAACTTTAAAAAATTCTAATTTTTTTTCATGGAAGATGTTTCAGTGTGTGATGTCCGCTCCAAATTTCAGTTCATCCGGACATCTGAGTAGTTCGCCGCAAAGAAGACAAAGCTACTCAAATGTCCAAATAAGTTGAAATACCCAAGCATCATTTATATAAAGAATAAGATTTTTCTCATTTTAAATTTTACTTAAATTTACTGTTCACTATGTACAGATGAGTCCGGACGCAGAAATGAATATTCGGACAAAACCTATACTAATTACATCCGTTTATATATATTTGTTTCTTTATGTGTACTTTGAATTTTGATGTGATTTTCTTAGTACATGTAGACATATGCCTTGTGAACATCCTCAATTAAATATATGCCATATAAACAAACTTTTTTTGAAATGTGTTATGTTACTTACTAAGTTACTCGCACTATGAGCAGCCTAAGAAAAAACAAGCGCCACCGCTTTGCTGTCCACGCGCGCCCCACTCCACGCTGCCTCCGCCGTCCAACCCTCCACCGCCTCCTCGCGCGCCACCTGGCGGCAAAGCCACGACGCGCCTCCCCTGCTTCGCCTCCACGTCTCCGCCCACTCCCACACCTGTCTCCCTGTGGGCACTCGCGCACGCCTTATATAATGCATATCCACACACGGTCCATCCATGTCGATCGCAAGATTCAGCTGTACTACTCACCTAGCCACCCTACACACGCTCGGAGCAACGCGGCAGATAACCAGACGCCTTCTCGGCAAGATGAGCCAGGGGCAACAGAGGAGGCCGTCGTCCGACCAAGCCCAGGCGGGCGGCGGCGGGCAGGGCCAGGGACAGGGAGGAGGCGCCGTCCGCTACGGCGACGTGTTCCCGGCCGTGACCGGCGGCCTCGCGGAGAAGCCCGTGGCGCCGCAGGACGCGGCCACGATGCAGTCGGCCGAGAACCTCGTTTTCGGGGAGACGATCAAGGGCGGGCCGGCGGCAGCCATGCAGTCCGCGGCCATGCGGAACGAGCGCATGGGCCTCGTCGGCCACGACCAGGCCACGGACGCCACCGCCGAGCAGGGTGTCTCCGTGTCCGAGACCCGCGTCCCCGGCGGGCGTATCGTCACCGAGTTCGTCGCCGGGCAGGCCGTGGGCCAGTACCTCGCGCCGGATGATGCCGCCGATGCAGGCGGAGCCGGTGGCGACGACACGAAGATAACTATCGGCGAGGCGCTGGAGGCGGCAGGTTACTCGGCCGGAGGCAGGCCGGTGGAGCGCAGCGACGCGGCGGCCATCCAGGCGGCCGAAGTGCGGGCCACCGGGCTGGACGTCAATATCCCTGGTGGCCTGGCCGCGCAGGCGCAGTCGGCCGCCGACGCCAACGCCTGGGCCGCGCGCGACGATGAGAAGGCCAAGCTCGGCGACGTGCTCTCGGTATGTCTCTAGCATGTCATGCACATCGATGCTACCAGTACACGTATCCTTGAATCCATGATGTTACTGACGACGATGGTCGACCCGCGTGCATGCAGAATGCGACGGCGAAGCTGGTTGCGGACAAGGAGGTGGAGGCCGACGACGCGGCGAGGGTGGCCTCGGCGGAGACCCGAAACAAGGATGACAAGACGGTGAGGCCGGGAGGGATAGCAGCGTCCGTGGCTGCGGCGGCGCGGCTCAACAAGCAGGGCGCATAGGCAGGCCTCTGCCGTGCGCGTACGTACGCGGCGTGTGCGAGTGGTTTGCGGGTGCAGGCCGCCGGCTGCTCGAGTTTAGCGTGCCCTTTTGCAAGAAGTGTCAGTGTCCTTCGTACCAGCGTCTAGTTCTCGTGCTTCTAGCTTTACCCGCGTCTTAGTTTCCGTAGTTCTAGTGCTTTTAGCTTAATAAAGTGTTCTTGTGCTTCTAGCTTTTGGTTGAAGTCAAGTCTTAGAACTTGTTTTAAAAATGTGTAATTCCGCTGCTATCTCTAGTTTTAAAACTTCTTGTAAAAATGTTATTCCGCCAAATCGGAGGAGTACCCTTTTCCTTTCCCTTATTTCCTCGAGAACAAAGAAGCACAAATTGCAAAATAAGGAAGTGCTTTTTTAAGACGGAGGCAAAAAGTTCAAATGAAGCACGAACAAACTACAGCCTGCCGAACTCTTCAAATACACAACATCCACAGCCTGCCGAACTCTCCAAATACACAACATTCACAAAACCCCACAATCACACGGGCGGCCTACCAAACTCTCCAAATACAACATCCACAAAAACAAATACAACATCCACAAAAACCAACAGGACGGCCTACCAAACTCTCCAAATACAACAAAAACCAACAGGGCGGCTTACCAAACTCTCCAAATACAACATCCACAAAACCCAACAACCGTACAAGCGGCCTGCCAAACTCTCCAAAAAACATTCACAAAACCTTACAACCTGCAGCCTGCCAAACTCTTCACATACACAACATCCACAAATCAAACTCTTCAAATACACAACATCCACAAACCCTTCAACTTCAACTGTCAAACTCTCTAAAAAACATTCACAAAACCTTACAACCGCACATGCGGCCTGCCAAACTCTTTAAATACACAACATTCACAAATCAAAACATCCACAAATCAAACTCTTCAAATACACAACATCCACAAACCCTTCAACTCAAACTCTTCAAATACACAACATCCACAAACCCTTCAACTGTTACTACGCCAAGTGACTCCTCACGAGGACACCTCGACATAAGACATAAGCACCTCCCAACCCACAAACCCCTTCACTAACTCCCCCTCAACTGCTACTATGCCAAGTGACTTCCCACGAGAACACCTCGACATAAGACATAAGCACCTCCCAACCCACAAACCCCTTCACTGACTCCTCACGTGAACACCTCAACATAAATCATCAAGCACCTCCCTACGTCAAGGACTCCCCACAAGAACACCTCGACATAAGACATCAAGCACCTTCCACCCACAAACTCCTTCACTGCTATTTGACTCCTCATGAGAACACATCGACATAAAACATCAAGCACCTCCTAACCCATAACGAGAACCCAAACAAAAAGGACAAGCCAAGAGACCAAAGATCATCCATCAAGCAGCCATAGACATCTTGCTTTTGGCATCATTCTTGCCTTTGCCCACCTTTTTTTTGTTTGCCCTTGTTGGCGTCCCCGTCAGGAGGCAAGCAATTGAACTCCCCAAACCAGGTCTAGCAATCTCCTCGCTGGCAAATCAGATTTCCTTCACGAAAAGATCATTTAGATTTGGAGTAGGTGCCAACACAAGTGGCTCAATGGTCATGCCACTCAAAGGCATCACTTGCCCGGCGGTCGTAGACGAAGGAAGGGCAGCAACATCAAAAACTCCGTGCTCCACGATGCTGAGAGGTAGGTTGTCTGACCCCTGACAAGGCTCCACGGGTGGTGGTGAGGGCACCAAGTCCACGTCCGAAGCCTGACAAGGCTCCACGGGTGGTGGTGAGGACACATGGTCCACCTTCGAAGCCTGCAGAGAGCCCAACTTGAGTTGCTCCATCGACGCAGGCGAAACATCTTCCCCACACAACACCTGCAACTCGGGCATGATCTGCAGCACCGAAGACACAACCTCGACAGATGCCTCACCCACGGAGTCCTGCAACACAAGGGGCGTCAAACTAGACCCAACACGGGGCGAGAAGCTACCAAAGAGCTTCGCAACCACCTCATCCATAAAGCCAACAGAAGAATCAACCACGGGAGCCTGTGCAAGAGGGAACCTTTGCAGAGTAGCCTCTGCGCGCTCTAGAAAGCTCCCAATATGCACCATCCAGCCTTGCAAGGAGTTAGCGACCTCGCGAAGCGGCTTAATTGCATACTCCATCTGTGAGGAAGTCATGCAATCAAGATCAGATACTAGCAGCTTTGTGTGCACCCCTAGAGCAGACTGGAGTGTCACATCTATCGGGACAGAAGCTGAAGCAACCGACGAGTAAGGTGAGGAATCACGACGAGGAGTCTTCATGTTGGACGAGGCCTCATGTATCTTAGATGTTGATGAAGGGGCAACAGTCGAAGCCCAAGAAAGAGCCAGCGGCCTGAAGGAAATATGCCCTAGAGGCAATAGTAAAGTTATTATTTATTTCCTTATTTCATGATAAATGTTTATTATTCATGCTAGAATTGTATTAACCGGAAACATAATACATCTGTGAATACATAGACAAACATAGTGTCACTAGTATGCCTCTACTTGACTAGCTCGTTAATCAAAGATGGTTAAGTTTCCTAACCATAGACAAATGTTGTCATTTGATTAACGGAATCACATCATTAGGAGAATGATGTGATTGACTTGACCCATTTCGTTAGCTTAGCACTTGATCGTTTAGTATGTTGCTATTGCTTTCTTCATGATTTATACATGTTCCTATGACTATGAGATTATGCAACTCCCGTTTACCGGAGGAACACTTTGTGTGCTACCAAACATCACAACATAACTGGGTGATTATAAAGGTTCTCTATAGGTGTCTCCGAAGGTACTTGTTGAGTTGGCGTATTTCGAGATCAGGATTTGTCACTCCGATTGTCGGAGAGGTATCTCTGGGCCCTCTCGGTAATGCACATCACTATAAGCCTTGCAAGCAATGTGACTAATGAGTTAGTTTTGGGATGATGCATTACGGAACAAGTAAAGAGACTTGCCGGTAACGAGATTGAACTAGGTATTGAGATACCAACGATCGAATCTCGGGCAAGTAACTTACTGATGACAAAGGGAACAACGTATGTTGTTATGCGGTTTGACCGATAAAGATCTTCGTAGAATATGTGGGAGCCAATATGAGCATCCAGGTTCCGCTATTGGTTATTGACCGGAGACGTGTCTTGGTCATGTCTACATAGTTCTCAAACCTGTAGGGTCCGCACGCTTAAAGTTCGGTGACAATTGGTATTATGAGTTTATGTGATTTGATGTACCAAAGGTAGTTCGGAGTCCCAGATGAGATCGGGGACATAACGAGGAGTCTCGAAATGGTCGAGACGTAAAGATCGATATATTGGACGACTATATTCGGACACCGGAAGTGTTCCGGGTAAGTTTCGGAGAAAACCGGAGTGCCGGAGGGGTTACCGGAATCCCCCGGGGAGTATTGGGCCTTAGTGGGCTTTAGGGGAGAGAGATGGCAGCAGCCCAGTAGGTGGTGCGCCCCCTCCCATGAGGGGTCCGAATCGGACTAGGGCAGGGGGGCGCACCCCCCTTTCCTTGTCCTCTTTCCCTCTCTTTCCTTCCCCCTTCCCTCTTCCTAGTTGGACTAGGAAAGGGGAGTCCTACTCCTACTAGGAGGAGGACTCTCCCCCTCCTTGGCGCGCCCCAAAGGGCCAGCCGGCCTCCCCCTTGCTCCTTTATGTACGGGGGCAGGGGGCACCCTAGAACACACAAGTTGATTTGTTGATCTCTCCCAGCCGTGTGCGGTGCCCCCCTCCACCATATTCCACCTCGGTAATATCATATTGGTGCTTAGGTGAAGCCCTGCGTCGGTAGCATTATCAACACCGTCATCATGCCGTCGTGCTGACGGAACTCTCCCACAAAGCTCTGCTGGATCGGAGTTCGTGGGACGTCATCGAGCTGAACGTGTGCTGAACTCGGAGGTGCCGTACGTTCGGTACTTGGATCGGTCGGATCGTGAAGACGTACGACTACATCAACCGCGTTGTGCTAATGCTTCCGCTTTCGGTCTACGAGGGTACGTGGACAACACTCTCCCCTCTCGTTGCGTGTGCGTAGGAATTTTTTTGAAATTACTACGTTCCCCAACAGTGGCATCCGAGCCAGGTTTTATGCGTAGATGTTATATCCACGAGTAGAACACTAGTGAGTTGTGTGCGATACAAGTTATACTGCTTACTATCATGTCATACTTTGGTTCGGCGGTATTGTTGGATGAAGCGGCCCGGACCGACATTACGCGTACGCTTACCGAGACTGGTTCTACCGACGTGCTTTGCACATAGGTGGCTGGTGGGTGTAACTTTCTCCAACTTTAGTTGAACCGAGTGTGGCTACGCCCAGTCCTTGAGAAGGTTAAAACAGCACTAACTTGACAAACTATCATTGTGGTTTTGATGCGTAGGTAAGAACATTTATTTCTCAGCCCGTAGCAGGCACGTAAAACTTGCAACAACAAAGTAGAGGACGTGTAACTTGTTTTTGCAGGGCATGTTGTGATGTGATATTGTCAAGACATGATGCTAAATTTTATTGTATGATATGATCATGTTTTGTAACAGAGTTATCGGCAACTGGCAGGAGCCATATGGTTGTCGCTTTATTGTATGCAATGCAATCGCCCTATAATTGCTTTACTTTATCACTAAGCGGTAGCGATAGTCGTAGACGCAATAGTTGGCGAGACGGCAACGGTGCTACGATGGAGATCAAGGTGTCGCGCCGGTGACGATGGTGATCATGACAGTGCTTCGGAGATGGAGATCACAAGCACAAGATGATGATGGCCATATCATATCACTTATATTGATTGCATGTGATGTTTATTCTTTATGCATCTTATTTTGATTTGATTGGCGGTAGCATTATAAGATGATCTGTCACTAAATTTCAAGATAAAAGTGTTCTCCCTGAGTATGCACCGTTGCCAAAGTTCGTCGTGCCGAGACACCACATGATGATTGGGTGTGATAAGCTCTACGTTCATCTACAACTGGTGCAAGCCAGTTTTGCACACGCAGAATACTCGGGTTAAACTTGACGAGCCTAGCATATGCAGGTATGTCCTCGGAACACTGGAGACCGAAAGGTCGAGCGTGAATCATATAATAGATATGATCAACATAGTGATGTTCACCATTGAAAACTACCCCATCTCACGTGATGATCGGACATCGTTTAGTTGATTTGGATCACGTGATCACTTAGATGATTAGAGGTATGTCTATCTAAGTGGGAGTTCTTAAGTAATATGATTAATTTAACTTTAAATTTATCATGAACTTAGTCCTGGTACTATTTTGTAAATTATGTTGTAGATCAATAGCTCGCGTTATTACTTCCCTATGTTTTATATGTGTTCCTAGAGAAAACTAAGTTGAAAGATGATAGTAGCAATGACGCGGACTGGGTCCGTGATCTGAGGTTTATCCTCATTGCTGCACAGAAGAATTATGTCCTCCATGCACCGGTAGGTGACAGACCTATTGCATAAGCAGATGCAGACGTTATGAACATTTGGCTAGCTCAATATGATGACTACTTGATAGTTTAGTGCACCATGCTTAACGGCTTATAATCGGGACTTCAAAGACGTTTTGAACGTCATGGACCATATGAGATGTTCCACGAGTTGAAGTTAATATTTCAAGCAAATCCCTGAGTTGAGAGATATGAAGTCTCCAACAAATTCTATAGCTAAAAGATGGAGGAGAATTCTTAACTAGTGAGAATGTGCTCAGATTGTCTATGTACTATAATCGCTTGAATCAAGTGGGAGTTAATCTTTCAGATAAGATAGTGATTGACAGAGTTCTCTAGTCACCATCACCAAGTTACTAGAACTTCGTGATGAACTATAGTATGCAAGGGATGACGAAAAGGATTCCCGAGCTCTTTGTGATGTTGAAATCGAGAAGGTAGAAATCAAGAAAGGGCATCAAGTGTTGATGATTGACAAGACCACTAGTTTCAACAAAAGGGAAAGGGGAAAGAAAGAGAACTTCAAGCAAAATGGCCAGCAAGTTGTCACTCCGGTGAAGGAGCCCAAAGCTGGACCAAATCCTGAAATTGAGTGCTTCTACTTCAAAGGAAATGGTCACTAGAAGCGGAAATACCCTAAATATTTGGTAGATAAGAAGGATGGCAAAGTGAACAAGGGTATATTTGATATACAGGTTATTGATATGTACCTTACTAGTGTTTATAGTAACCCCTGGGTATTTTATACTTGTTCGGTTGCTAAGATTAGTAACTTGAAACATGAGTTACAAAATAAACAGAGACTAGTTGAGGGTGAAGTGGCAATGTGTATTGGAAGTGGTTCCAAGATTGATATGATCATCATCGCACACTCCCTATACTTTTGAGATTAGTGTTAAACCCAAATACATGTTATTTGGCGTTTGCGTTGAGCATGAATATGATTTGATCATGTTTATTGCAATACAATTATTCATTTAAAGTCAGAGAATAATTGTTGTTCTGTTTACATGAATAAAACCTTCGATGGTCATACACCCAATGAAAATAGTTTGTTGGATCTCGATCATAGTGATAAACATATTCATAATATTGATGCCAAAAGATGCAAAGTTGATAATGATAGTGCAACTCGGAGGTGCCGTACGTTCGGTACTTGGATCAGTTGGATCGTGAAGACGTACGACTACATCAACCGCGTTGTGCTAATGCTTCCGCTTTCGGTCTACGAGGATACGTGGACAAAACTCTCCCCTCTCATTGCTATGCATCACCATGATCTTGCGTGTGCATAGGATTTTTTTTGAAATTACTACGTTCCCCAACACGGCCCAGCAGAACTTGTAGAAGGCTGCAGCTACACCGGCTTGCAGCCATCCCATGCACGGTGTCCCGAGCGAAAGCATAGGTTGCACCGGATTGGATCCCTGCACTCGGGCGCTTGATGACCTTTTCCGAAGCAACGAAAACATCTATTCCAGAGCCACACAGGCAGCTGGGGACGCTGATGAGGCATGAAAGCCGAAGATGGCCGAGGTGCCTGTCGTGCATGGCGGGACTGGACAAGCTTCCAGCATGCAGCGTCCTCCATGAGCCCCACGCATGTCGCATCCGACCCGATGAGGAAGTCTGCATCTACGTCTGCATCAGAGACCAGGGGGCTGGAGCTCAAAAGGGCAGCAGGTGACCGACCGTCGTCCAGGCAGGGCGGTGCTGTCGGTGGCCTGTCAATGGTCTCTGGCACTTCCACAACAATGTCCTTGGAACACAAACGTGGCTCCGGCGGCAGGGACACAGGCCCCCGATCC